GGCACACACTGACACCTGATAGTCATCTCACTGATTAAAAACACCTCTGAACAGATGGACTCTAATTTCACCTTCAAATTAACAGCTAATAGAGATTCACATACTTTTGCCGCTCAGTTATGTAATATTGGATCATTTTCCTGAATAAATAAATGACAAAGTATATATTTTCATTTCATTTGTTTGATTGGGTTCTCTTTGTCAACTTTCAGGACTTGCATGAAAATCTGATGATTTTTTTGGGTTATTGTCACGATTCACACTGGGTGTCACGGTGCGTGCAGGGAGATGAAGCGAGGACTCAATTGCAGGAGAAATGGTTATTTATTTTAATCATAAAAATGAAACAAAAACAAACTCAAACCACCCCGAGGGGGAAAAACAGACAGGCAAGCCTAAAGCGGCACCACATGCAGACACGAAACACACACAATGAGAAATGACGGATCAGCACAGGATGACAGACACCAGGAGAATAAATAGGAACCAAACGAGGAGGCTAACGAGGGAGACACAGGTGGAGCAACTTAAACAATAACGAGGTAACAAGATGGGAGGGGCCAGACAATAGACAGGAGAGAGCACATGGCAACAGACAAACACAACACAAGCCATGTGCTCCCAGAACACAGTCATCTGGTGGCCCTCCTGGGCACACCCGCTGAAAACTGTGACACATGTCTTCCTTTCTTTAGTCGCAAAGAAATTAAGGCTTTTGAGGAAAACATTCTAGGATTTTTAATGGACTTCAGTGGTTTCCAGACTTCAAAGATTTCCATTTTTTTTCCCAATTTATTTAATTACCAATTTTTTGTAAAGCTCCTGAAATAACAAAACATCATAAAAGTGCCATAAAGGTGTTTAACATGTCTTGTAACCAAATATTTGATATCCAACCTTACATGACATGCATATCAGGGTCATACATAATTTAATTGATTTTGGTCACGCATAGTTAGTGAATGGGTTCAGAAGACTTGGAACAAACACTACCATTCAAAGGTGTGGGGTTGGTTAGATTTTTTTATTATGATTTTAATGTTTTTGAATAAAAAGTATCTTGTTCTCACTAAGACAGCATTTATTTGATGTAAAAGCAGTAATATTGTAAAATATTATTACAAAACAAAATACATGTTTTCTATCTTAATATTTAAAATTAAATGTATTCATGTGATGCAGAGCTGAATTTTCAGCAGCAGCCTCCAGTCTTTAGTGTCACATGATCCTTCAGAAATCATTCTAATATGCTGATTTGCTAATCAAAGAAACATTTCTTACTATTATCAATGTAAAAAAAAAAAAAAAAAAGTCGTGCTGCAATATTTTTGTGGAAACCATGGTGCATTTTTTTTCAAGATTTTTTGATGAATAGAAAGTTTAAAAGAACATGTACTTGCTGGGGTAATGCAATTTTGAAGTCATATGAACAACCTTTTTATGGTGTTTTTCCACCTGAGCTGGAGCTTTTCTTTATATGGGAAAAAAATACTGGAACAGATGATGACAAAATAATTACCAATTTTCTAAACTATTCCTTCAATTCAAAGTCATTTCAGTCAGTAATATTCATTTAAATGTGTAATAATGGAAATCAGTTACCAAATGTTAAGGTTTCTCTGACCCTCGGGCATTGCTGCTTTTTACTGATTAAAGCATTCTGAGCTCTGTTTCACTGTTGTACAGGTAAGGGGATGACGTCTCTTAATGCACACTGCGGGCCTGTGGATTTCTTAGTTGCCCTTTCCAGCACTTTGTCTCCTGATCTTCTGAAGCGGGATTCTGTGGTGGAAGGGCATGATTCGGCCTGTGGAGTAGAGGACCGCAGCGACTCTTCCTCTCAGGAATCTCTCCAGCAGGCCAGTATTTCCGCCCAGGTAGATGGCAAAAGAAAGGGACGGGGCATGCTGCTACAGTACCGCCTCCGCTCAACCTCAGGTTTGCCCGGGCGACCGTTAACCGTGAGAGGGGAAGAAGCCTCAGATTCGTCTTTAGAATCTTTGGAACACAGCATGGAAGATGGCGCTATATATGAACTCAGTGATGACCCAGACATGTGGGTCAGGGGTCGACCCTGCGATAGGAAGGGGGTGAGGAGGGACAGGGTTATCTCGGTAGCAGTCATCTCGGGTGGAAAGGGCTTCCGTCGACTGAGGGAGGGTTCAGTGACGACCACCGCAGAAAGCACACTTATGATCTGGCAGCTTCCTCTCACAGTTTGAGCTGAAATTGTGTTTAAGGAGTAGTGGAATGAAAATTTGAACAATTTGCTCAACCGTATGTCATTCCACACCTGAATGACTTTCTTTTGAATTAATGTACTGGTTACTCTTTTCAGTGCAGTTACAATGAATGAAAGCTTCAAAAAGGATACAAAAGTGTCACAAAACTGGCCATACGACTCTCTCTCAAGTTTTCTAAGTCGTACAAAGGTTTTGTGTGACGAACAGTCCATTTAAAGTTTAAGGGGTTAATTCACTGATAATTTTCCTCTCTGGGCTTGGATCATTCAGTCAGTGAGTTGAACTTGAGAACCGATTTGTGAACAAATCATCCAGACCAATGTTGTAAACAAGCTCAACTGATTCATTGAAAAGATCTGACTCAAAGGAATGAGTCGTTTACAAACCAGACATCACTAGGGTTATAACGGTGAATAATGATATACATTTTTATATTTTTCTTCACACAAAGCTATCAGTACACCACTTTTATGGCGTTTTTTTGCCATTTTGAAACCTGACAGCTCCTGTCCAGTAATATGGGTTTGGAATGACATGAGGAAAAGTAAATTACAGAATTTTCATTTTACAGTGAACTATCACTTTTCACTGGGAATGTGTGGTATAAAATGGGACCCTGGACCACAAAACCAGTCATAAGTAGCACAGGTAAATTTGTAGCAATAGCCAAAAATACACTGAATGGGTCAAAATTATCGATTTTTCTTTTATGCCAAAAATCATTAGGATTAGTAAAGATCATGTTCCATGAAGATATTTTGTACATTTCCTACCATAAATATATCAAAAATGTATTATCATTAGTAATATGCATCGCTAAGGACTTCATTTGGACAGCTTTAAAGGCGATTTTCTTAATATTTAGATTTTTTTGCACCCTCAGATTCCAGATTTTTAAATAGTTGTATCTCGGCCAAATATTATCCTACCCTAACAAGCTATCCTAAAGCTTATTTATTCAGCTTTCAGATGATGTATAAATCTCAATTTAAAAAAAAAATTGACCCTTATGACTGGTTTTGTGGTGCAGGGTCACAAATGTGATGCTCTTGGACTCTACTGTTCCCAGAAAAAGAAGTTTCCTTTATTAAATGACCTTGTGATCTCTCCTAACCAGTAGAGAATTTTGATCCATGTATTTAATCTAATCTAATTAACTGGACCTAAACTATTCAAATGGAACATTTCCTTGAGGCCTCAGTCTGGTCAACCTTTAGTGAATCATGAATTCACCATGGCACAGAGCTGCTGAGGGTTTTTTTTATTATTCCCTGGTGTCTGAAGAAATCATATCAGTGGAAAGTGAAAAGCAAAGTGAAAGGGGTTTCCATGCTTTTGTGCAGTCACGCTAAGAATACTCTCACCCTTTGACTCTTGATAATGTGAACGCATGATTCTCTGTTGAAGCCAAGTCTGGGCAGGTCAGTGCTATGTGAGTGTTAAAAAAGGGTTTCAAAACACTTGACGGCCTAAATTTCTGTGGTAAATGGTAAAGCTTAATTACAATTCTTTTTTTTGTGGACACATTTATTCTTATGTACACAACCTGAAAACATTTTCACCATATGGCAGTCATTTGAAACGTCTGCTTAAATCACCATTACTTAACAAGCAAGTTCATTACCAGCTGGTAGTAGAAAGATACAAGCACCACTAATTGCAGGAAAGTTGTGGATCTTGTGAAGCTTTTGATGTTTATTTGATCTTGTTGAAGGGTATTCACCACTGATATTTTGTGTAATATTGCAGTTCCATCTGCAAGCTACAGTTGGTTAACATCATTCTTTGTTCTTGTTTGATCCACATTTAACACATTCAGTTGTCTTCCAGTCTTCCATTAGGAATTGTGCCAGAATAGATTGAGGTTGTTTTTGGTACAAATGAACAAGTAAATAAATAATAAATTAATTAATGAATAAAACTCTAAAAAGCTCTGTTTAAACACCAGCTCGGCCAAACTTGGAGCCCTGCTGAGCCAGCATAGACCAGCAAACCACCCTAGTCTGGTTTAATCTTTTTTGAAGACAGCAAACAAATTGTATTAAACTAAAATTCCTCAGAAATAGCTGCTGTTTATTTTTCCACCCCTCACCAATTTGTCATCATGCATTTTTCATGCCATGCAACTTTATAAATGTACGAAATGTATATGTCCTGGTACTGCAAACATTTTTTAAAACTGCTAAACTGAAATTGTTTTTTATTGGCATTATAACATAAAACATTTATGAAGGCCATAATATCCCACTGAATATAATAACTGTAGTGCTACAATAGTCATTCATTGTTTGGATATGAAATTTGTAAGTAAAAGTGAATTAAATTTAGCATGAATAATACAAATTGTGCATTATCCATCCATATAAATTAACCACTTGAAGTTTCCATTTGTGCCCCAAATGCACTGAATTTTTAGTATTTTTTATGCTAATAAAATGTAGTCTCGTGTTTGTCAATTCACTGTTAATAGAATAAAAACAATAAAATCCACCTCCGCGTTTAGTTTGATTCTTATAAACAGCAGTGCTGTTATGAGTGTATGTATTAGTCTGAAGGAACTGTATAAAACAAGATAGCAAACCTAGAAAACTCTTGGCTGCTGCTAAGCTGACAAATTTATGCAGGGCTGTGCTTTTTTCCCCATCTCTTGTTGACCCTCACAAAAGCAAAAATCCCTGTGATTACAGACGAATTACACAGAGATGGTGGATAAGTACGGTGCATTAAATGACATGACACACTGGATAAACACAGAAGCTGTACCAAAAGGTCATATCGGAATAAATGTATGCATGTTGGGATGGTGACAAACTCGACCATTGCCACTGCCAGAATATCTTAGATTTCAAAATGATCACTTTTGCGCAACAGAGTTCAGCACCTCTGCGTTTTAATGCAGTTTGTTCTAGATTTGAATTATTCATAGTGTTCTAATTTGCAAACTGCGTTAATACTAAGAGTTTTATGCAAGCTACACTCAGAAAAAGTGTACTAATATCTTCACTTTAGGTAGTAATATGTACATTTAAACTACTAAGATGTACCTTTAAGGTACTAATATGTACCATATAGGGGTAAATAAGATACAAACATGTAACTTTAGATGCCAGCCTAGTACATTTTCTTCTGAGAGTGTATTATGAACATACGTAAGACTGTGCTATGCTTGTTATGTCACAGTTCGGCTGTCAAGTCAGAGGAAATGACCGAAGTTCACAACTCCTCTTGTCAAGCACCATCACCGTTTTGGTGGAAAAAGAGGAACTTATTACCCAAGGACTCTTGGGTGTATTCAGATGGTACATGAGAGGTATAAACACAGCTGTGAGAGTGGAATGGAGGTTCTGGGTTGTGAGGACATACCAAAGCCCCTGCTCAATCTCTTCATCCTTGTCCTGCTGGCTTCAGAACTCCTGCCTTAGGCAGATACATGACTGAGAGCCCACTTAAACCCACATTAGTGTAGTTTACAGCATGAAGGGTGTTTGCAGTTGTGCTGAGCACAATGTGATTTATGATCAAATTGATTGGAGATCGCAGTTCTGTGAAACAGCTGCACTTACATGCTGTTTCCCTGAGAAGTTTTGTTCGTTAGACAAGAAAATCACCCAGGCATGTTATTTGCTGAGGAGAAAAACATCAAACAAGCTTCTGATACTCTGCATATTTACTTTTAAGGTCAATGTTATTTGCACTTACTCAGTGTTGTGTGACTAGTGTACTAAAAATCTAATGCAGCATTTTTAGGCAACTTTGAGAAAACTAAGGCACTTTGGAGTCATTCATTTTCATAATAAAGTGTGCTAATATAATCACATGAGACAATTCTATCTCAGAACATAACTTGGCATTGACCTTGTCAGTTCTGAGCCTGTCCATTTTGCTGAAATGGCCAAGCGTGACCTGCAATTTTAGAAATTTGCCACATATCATTACAAACACATTCATCTTTGCAGAAAAAGCGAGTCACAGCAGTGGTTATTTCAACTGCTTTTCGATTTGCATAAGTCATTTGCTAATTTCCTGTGAACCCTTGTAAAATATTCCAGGGGGACAGTCGCAGCACAGACAAACTGAGATCACACGATGCCACATGCTGAGTCAGTCTGTAACGCAGGATGGGTGCGAACGCTTCATTCGCCCAACATAAGCCAGCGATTGTACAGCAGTGCTGAATTGCATTTTAAAGCACTAGAATGGCCCGTTTACCAGCCACACTTTTGCCTCGGAGTCAAGAAAGAGTGCCAGGTTGCAGTGCAAGCTTTTTGGCTGACAAACAGAGCGCAAACAGCAGATACATGTGAGTTTTGTGGCACTAAAGGTGTCAATTAACCCTGCCCTGAGAGATTTGACTATCATGCAACACAGCTGTGAGCAAACCGCACGCTCCTTCTCCAGCCTTAGGAATTATTTACATGAAGATGAATATTCTGCTGCTGAAAGCTTGTTTTATTTTTGATAAAAGTCACAGTTGCTGTTAACAAAGTACGTCGGAGTTAATGATTCGTGCAGAGAATGCAAAAGACGACTTCTCTGCTGCCCCTATCTGTCTTTTTCCATTAAGATGTGTTAAAGAGGCATGTGGCTTGTGACCAAGACATTTAGTATTTGCGATGTTTGGATGAAAAGTATGAAATAATGTTGACGCCAATCAGACCTGTGTGAAAGCGAAACGTACAACGTTGTATTGAAGGATGACAGCTCTGAGCATGAATTGTTAACTGACAGCTTGAAAGAAAACACGGCACTGCATTTGAATGGCGTTTTCTAATTCACGGGTCTATCAATTGTTCATTTCTCTCTGTTGGACTCACTGACCATCGCTCCAATGGTTGAGGGAAAAAAAAGTGTTTTATTTGGAACCAATGAAACATGTACAAAATTAATGACAATTTGATCATCCCACACTGCGTTATACACCCACCAGGAGAAGACTTGTTGGCATATCCATCATATGTATAATACAGTGGCCCCAAAAAGTAGTGGGACAGCTTGTGTGAAACGGTTGAATTTAATT